TGTTTTAGATGTTATGGTGAAGTAATTTAGCTTGATATATTTAATATATTTATAATAATATATATAATTAAAAGCATAAACAGTAAGTAAAAATAATAAATTATTATATCAATATATACAAAGAAAGGAAACAAAATTCAAAACACTAAAAATATAGTGTACTTTGTTTTATACATAAAAAGTCGCTTTACAAGGGTACACTTTGTAACATTCTTTAATTAAATAGTGAAAACGGAATTAACAGATTAAAAGCTAATTAGACATAAAATTTTAATTAATTTATTTTAAACAAAAATTGAGCATAATTAAATATTAATTATATTAAAATTACCTTTTAATAACTTATATATAGTTTATAATATATTATATACAAATTAATAATGAATTTTCTTATAAAATTATATCTATAATATTAAAATTTTTAAGCTTAATTAAATATATTATAAGAATTTATAAATCATCTCATCAAATTTTTATAAATAGAACTTATTAATTTACTTCTGTACAAGATTCTGATTAATGCAAATACTTTTTGATGTTTTTTATAATTTTTACAAATTTTCATAAACAAACGTACATGAAATTTAATTAAAAAGAACAATTTCACCTAATCAAGTCATATTTCTCCAATGTAAATCAAATAATTTATACTACTTAAAACTATTTTTGCTAGCCAAATACTAAAATTATTTATTAAAACTTCAAATAAATTAATTTTTAATACAGTTTAAAAATCCAGCGACGAGTTGCTTAACTTTCTTGGCAACATCGAACACTGCGTGTGGCGACATCTGTTATGATATTTTATTTTAAAATTTTTCATATTGTTAATTATTATAAATTAGCAAAATGCTTAATTTTCAGGGTTGGGACAAGTTTGATAAAAAAAAAAAAAAAAAAAAACTGTAAATGCAAATAACAAGTAAAATCGTAAATAAGTCCGACTCTACTCGAGATACGAACAATCCACTTTATCACCCCTCGACCTCGACTTTTAACCACTAGAATTTCACAGCCCCACTCCGTCTATTAATTAATCCAACCTCCCTGCAAAATTTCAGAAATTTTTAACAAAAAGCACAGGAGTTATTAAGATTCAAATAGGTTGAACAAACTCGTGCCCCCCACACTGACATTTATACAGAAATCCCCCGAATATTTTTTTTTTTTTTTTCGTTTCTCGACGTTTCAAAGTGTCCTAAGTCCAAAAATGTAAAAATCTTGCTGGGACGATCGGTCAAAAATCAAAATTTTGACCGATCGCCATATTTTCCCTCTGTTATGTATAACAGAGCAGAGAAAATAAAATTTAGATAATATTAGATAAATTTTAATAGTACATTTTCTAAAGAGTATATTGAATTTAATAAATGCAGATTCCATTAAAGTTATTAATGAAATAGTTGGTATTGTTTGTACATTAATTTCCGTAATATAAATTTTTCACATATTTAGAATGCGTATATATCGCCCTTTTAGCATAACTGAAACAATATTGGATGCAAAATTTATAAATTATTATAAGAACAAATGCTTTAAAATATTTTTAACATAATCACTTAACATATAATACATAATGTAAAATGTATCTTCTTAGAATCACTTAACTTTTGAAATTCTTCGAATAAAGTAAACTAATTTTTCAGTTTACTTTACCTGAAGTTTTAGTCTGTGTTGCATAATATGCACAGAAGAATGAAACCAGCCCTTTACATAAATTAATAAAACTGTTTGAAAGAAATAATTAGATAAATTATTATTAACCAATAACGTAAAGATATACTTTAATATAAAAATTTACTGTACAGTACATATAAACTGTGGCTCCTTTAACTTGTACAGTACATACTTTTTCATACATGTACAGTACAGTATATGTATAAATTTTAAGGAATTCTCTCTAAAAATTACAGTATAATTCAAACAATAAAGAAAAGTAAATTAATATGGGCAGTCCATTTAATTCGCGTAGTTCCCAACACACATCATCATAAACAAACTGGAAATCCAAAAGAAAAAATACGAATGACAGACCTAATCTTAGATCTGAAGAGTCAATTCGGAAGGTCTTTAGAAAAATCCACAGGGAAGGTACTGCCTGGAGAGAGCCAATTGTTAAGAAAATAAAATGGGGAATATTTGTCAATATGATCGTAGATTCTCGTGGCCCAAGTACCAATAAATTATATTATTATTAATTTTAAATACTAATACAAACAATATCGTTATTTTATCAAATTTTTTTATTTGTAAAAAAGTGTTTTTACAATAAAATACTGACTTTTTAAAACTTTTTTTCTAATTTATTTACTAATTTAGAAAAAAAAAATTTGAAAGTTACGTTTTATGTTGAAATCAGTCTAAATTGAGTGTTGTGGACAGTCTACATTCGAATTATCTAATATAAATCAAAACAATAATTTCAGATTTTATTTAATTTTAATTAATATATTAACTGTATTAGTAACTTGCGTACAAATCTAAAACAAAGGTTATAAAAATTGAATGTTTATAGTAATAAGGATAAATGTTTTAGATGTGCTATCGTTTAATATAGAAAAGTAAAAATATTTTTCATTTTTAATAAAAAACAAAAATATATTAATATACAAACTGCCCACGAATATCCAACCGGCTTCATAATCATCAGCGACAAACAATTTTCATCTACAGAGACAACCTCTTTTATGCAATTTTCCATAAAAAAAACACCGTAGTCTATCTATATAGATAAAAATTGTTTTCGCTAATGATTGTGAACACACATACCTGACGCAATTTTGTATTTTCTATATTTTTGCATTTTATTAAAAATGTAAATACCGTCGGCCAATTTGAAATGAACAAAATTGTTTTAGAATTATTCCTTTATATTTCTAAGTTGAAGAAAGAATACGAATATCGAGACAAATGTGCTGCAAGCCTGAAAAAATGTATACATAATATTTTAAAGTAATTATAATTCATGATTTTTTAATAATATTAAATTAAACGTCTTCTAATATTCAACTCAATATTTAAAATTACATACCTTAAACATCGTTTGTTTAGTAACTAAAATTTTTTGGAATAATAACAATCCAAATGGCGATGACGATTTCTTCATCAGATTATCTAACTTAAATAATAATTAATTAATTAAATTTTTAAAAATTATTAACATTATTAAGTAACAAAATTTACCAAATATAATTATATACATTGCCAATTGTCATAGAAAGTGCAATTTTCTTTAGTTTTGTATAAAATTAATTGAATTGTGTAACGATTAATATATTTAATTTAATCTCTGATTTAAGGATTAGTATGAAAAAATTAAAAGTGATAAATGCTGCTTTTCAGAAACAACTACAGTAGAGCGTCGATTATCCGAATCAATTGGGGACGGGTTGTTCGGAAGATCGATGTTTCGGATAACTGATTATGTGCGAAAAAATATATTAATTTATCCCATCTTCACATTTTTCTCCGTTGCGTGTCGCTTCGCGTTGAATTTTCGTCGATGTTAAGCCTAACGAAGACTATTGTATCGTTAAAAATTATTTTTTTATTTTGTACAAACAAAATAAATATATTGAAAAATATAAAAACAATAAAAAATTATACTTCAGAAGTTAATTTAGTATCAAAAACGTAAAATATTTGAGTAGCCCAAGACATAGTCAAAGATTGCAGCGCCACAGCACTGGCGAAAATTTAAATTTGCCGACTGGAATTCTTTCGGATGATTGACGTTTCGGATGATTGGCTTTCGGATAATCGACGCTCTATTGTATTTTTGCATCAATTTACATAAACTCATAAATTTATTTCTGAATGTTGAAATATATCAAGCAAGTAATCTGTACAAGAAAATAATGGTTTTATATTTTAATATAGTAGCAACTGCCAAACCTTTAATAACTCAAAAATTTATAGGTTTTTTTTGAAAATTGCAGTTCAATAATTAAGAAACTATTTAATAATTATATAATTATTAACAAAATATAGATTACAACGAATTTTTAACTCAAAATGTACTATAAGTATTTAAATCTTGGATTAAATTTTAGAAGTGAGAGTGAAATAATGGCGGTATTTATGTTTTACTGGAGTGCAATGTTTGATTACAAAAATATAGATCACGTGCCATAAATAAAACTCTGATTCTGTTTGGCTATGTGTGACATATTTTATACTTATTTTTTATATAGACGTCACGATTACTATTACGAGCATGAAATGACAAGTCTGAGACCATTGTCTGTTTTTAAAGTAACTGTATTTGATTTAAACGATATGCAAGTACAGTTGAATTAAAAACTATTAATAAGTTTCTCCTTAAATTGTTACAATAGTGCTTACTGGAAGCCAAGAAGATAATATTACTAAACATTGACAGTAGGTTTTAGGTTCACAAGCTGTTCATGTGGAGTTTTACGTGTTTTCTTCACAGGTTTACACCTATATAGAAGCCATTTTCCTGTAGAAAGTCTTCTTGAGAGATATCTTCTTTGGCACGTAGACATTAACTTGCTTTATGTTATCAAACCAAACCAAATTAAATCATATGCATTATTTAGTTTTTGTTTACGATATTTGCTTTATCGCTGTATTTTATTTCTTTGTTCATCCATTTGTAATTTTACTGAGTTGTTTGCATAAATGATTTATTTCATTCCATTACATATTTATGCAAAAATATATGCATCAACTAAGTAAATCACTACTTTAGGAGAAATTATATAATTTATATTTCTTTCCTCTTAATGGAAATCGGTATATTTAACATTAAAATAATTCATTACAAAAGTAAGTTCAGTTCATTAATGAAAGATGTAAGATTAATTTTAAGTTTAAGAATCTTTTCTATGATACAGTTACAGTCTATATATATATATATACGTATATGCATATATAACATAATATATACAGATCTATATATTTATGTAACATGTATATTTATTTATTTATTTATTATATATATAACATTTTGATCGTATAGTCTTTTCAAGAATTAGAATGAATACGATATTCATTACTCTACATAAAGAAATATTAAATATTTATCAGATGAATGATGTTTACAATGATATAATGCAATAGAAATTTACAATGTTTTTGCAAGAAATTTGAGATTATAAAAAAAGTCACTCGACATCATGTGACGCGATATTCAACAAATTATTGTAATAAAAATCATGTAAGCATATTTAGGTAATTTCATATTAATATAATAAAAACAAGTTCACATAGGTGAGAAAATTTATGTTAACTTATTATTAATTAATTATATTAAATTAATATAAACATAATTTTTATTTTAAAGAGTTTAATAAAAATGTAAAAAATCATAGTGAATAATAAAATTATAAATGATATTTTTAATTCCAAATATTATGAAAATAGTAATTATTTAGTTCTTTATATAAACAAACATCCTTTAATTTTAATGTTATTATGTAATGATGACAATTCTAAAATAAATCAAAATTTTCTGAATTTATACTTAATATAAAGGCTCCTGCTTTTTGAATTTTTCATATTAAGGTTCCTACAGAATTTTTGAGTTTTCAGTTTTAAAAATTAAAATTACTTATTTAATATAGTACTTTTTAAACTTAGGGAGTTAATTACTTTCAAAGTATTAAATAAAATTCATAATGAGTCCATATAAAGTAAAGTTTAAATATTTTAATTGTATTATTATATAACACCTAAAAATGCATATACTTTTATAAGCTATAAATATATTTAAATACTTACAAGAATGCCTTCTTCGAATGTAGTAGCTGTTGGTAACACGTGTAATAATGTCTTGTAATATTTATTACCCTGTGAAATAAATTCAAATTGATAAAAAAAAATTTCTATAATTTATTAAAAAATAAAATAATAATACATAAACAAAATATTGCGTGTATTAATTAATTAATTAAATTATTATATTTTGAGCATTCCGTTAAATTCACTTCCCGACCACTTTCAGTGATCTTAAAACATTTCTACAATTAATTTTTAAAATTATAAATATGCTAATCCATAAATGTTTCAAATTAATTGAACTTACCTGCTGATGAATCGAAGACATAATATTTAATATACAGAATAATAAAAAGTAGATGAAAAATATTACGAGAAAAGAGATGATAATAGAATGAGGACGATATATATTAAATATTAATTGATATAATAGAAAAATAGCTAAAGAGAAAAAAATTATTATCGCTGAAGAAATTGGAACTGATAAAACTTCATTTGTTTCAGTTATCCGTTCTGTTAATAAGTTATAAGTATTATAAATTTCAGAAATAACAACAGAATTTTTCTCCAGGTCGTCTTTTATTTTATTAATTATTGAATTCACTTTATAATAAACAACGGCAATTATGAATATACATAGTGTTACAGAAAGTAATGTGATATTTATTCCATATATAATAATCAAAGTACCGTACACAGTTATAAAAATTGGTTTATGGAAATTGTCTTTAAATTGTAGTTGTTTTATTCTCCAATAAACGTAAACAATCGTAATTATAAAAGTTATAGAAAAACTTATGAAGAAAGCAAATGGAATCCATACATTTAAACAACGGTCTATTAAATCATAAAATTTTTTTTCGAATTGTAATGGTGTCTTCAATTTTCCTAAATGCTTAAAAACAATTTTTAATTTAAAAACTGTTTTATTAAACAGAAATATAACAAGAAGAGTTATAAGAAATATGAACCACGAAATAAATATTGTACAAATAATTATTTTGTCATCTTTCCAATATTTTGAAAATGTTGCTGAAGATGTATTTATCTCGGGATTTATTATAATTGTTAATATCCAAATGCTAACGGAACAAAATAATAGAATAACACATATACTATAGATAATTAATAGAACACTCTTCAGGCAACTTTTTTCATATAAATTTGCATAAATTCCAACAATTTCTAAGCTTCTGGCTATAATTGGTACTACATCTTCCAGATAATAAAACGAATTATCCATTTTGATTTTTACGTTTTTTTCTTTAAATTGTCGATATTTCCTTCCAGTTATAATACTCTTTCCTTATAATTTCTCATCTCAACATCGCATCATGTGAAATATACTTATGTTAATTAAAAAACCTGAAATACAGATTTTTTGAAGAACGGATAAAAGTGCTTCATTCTATGTTGAATCTAAGAATTTAAATGAATATTCTAATTTCCAGGAAGCAATTACCTTACGTGGTATAATAAAATACCAGAGAATAATTAAATAAATTAATCGGAATTTTGTTTATCATTTATTATCGAAGATCGACAAGAATGGATGATGTTTATAATCCTTAAGTATGTATCGATTATTATTAATAATATTAATCTTCCTAGGAATTTTTCATAAGTGTTTGCCTTCTCTTCTCTATTAATGAAGGAGCTAAGTGTTCTGTATATTATAATTATCCTAAAATATATTATAAATTCAGATATATATATATATATATATATATAGCTTT